TATATATATATATATATATATATATGTGTGTGTGTGTGTGTGTGCGCGCGCATGCTGTGAAGAGATAAGATGGTTATCATTGTTAGTCGTTGCAAGAGAGGAGGGCTTAGGTGAGTAATGTAGTGGTTAAGTTTTGGTAAGCACTTGCTGGGATGATGAGGTGGGACAGGTTTCGTTAGGAACCTAAAATTGATTAGGACCCGAGAAACCGCTCATAACTCGACATGTGGCGTATTCATCGGGAATATAGATGTGTTATTCATCATAAATATGTGATTCATGATGAATAACACTTCCAAATTCATCATGTATGTGTTATTCATGATGAAAATTCACTTTGAAGTGGGACATGAGGCACGCGTTGAGGAGTTCAAGAGTTATTAATCAATTTTGGCAATCATACCAAAACTAACGATCTCTCTCTCTCTTCCTCACTTTTTGGCAAAACTTATCAGCCCAAATGTATATATATATATATATATATATACACATATACACACATTAACATAATCAAATGAGAATCACAAAAAGGTTGAAACCCATGAGAATTATTGATCATGTGTTGTTTCACATTGAAACAATGGATATGAATGTACAATGTTATTTGACCATGTGAAACAAAATCAATACTAAAAATAGACATTAAAAATAATCATATTGTAAAACAACACAGTTCTTTTACATGCATTGTTTCACAATGTGAAGCAACACGTAAAAATTGGTTTTGACAACTATTAACTTTTTTGTGGTTCTTACTTGATTAGTCCCCTCTATAATATAGAAACGAAATATGAATTGCAAACCACAAGAATAAAAACTGTAATTTTGTAGTATTTGTGGATTCATTTATCATCTTTAACTAGAATGAGGTTTATCACATTATGATAAGAGCTCACTAAGATGATCATCATGATCAGATCGATCGACAACGAGTAGGGTATGTATCTGATAAGAGTTATTTTATTGTTATGTTCATTTAAAATAACATATAATAAAACAGATAATCATTTATAATCATAAAACTCTTACACATATTTATACCTCATCTATTAAAATAAAGGATAATGACATCAGTAACAGATAATCGATACGAATAATTATTTTTATTTTTGAATGTAACATTAATCATAAAAGAATCATATCTTATGTGACATCATATAATCACAAATTTAAAATTCACATAATTACAAGGGCTAGAAATTAATAATATTATTTTATTATAATATTATAAATGTATGTATATATTTATATATAAATTAATGATCTTAAATTATCGTTTATCCATATCTATCCACTAAAATGTCAAGCATACGGGTGACAAATGAGTGGATAACTGAAAAAAATTGTATTTCCTCATACCCTTATCTACGAGTCGAAATACAACGAGTAACGAATTTACCCTTACCTATTGTCAACCTTGATGGCCAGCCATCTTACAGACATCATTTGACGCCCTAACATGACCGAGTAAGAGATGGGATTGGCTTACTAGGAGTCTTTTTTACTAGAGTTAATTATCGTGTGCTTTGAACATTAACATTTAATCATTTATGATATGATCTGTTCACTCATATAGCTACATGGTCTGAAGAGTGTCATCCTCATCCGTGTGCAGTTAACTTTGCCCTAAACAAAGCTTTATCGCTATGCGTATGAAGACACCTCCATCCCCGAATCAGACAATCGCTCATTGCTCCTAGGAAATCCTCATATAGATACGATCATCCACTGGATGGCCTTGAATTACTCATTCCTAAGATAGCGAAATTCCTTGTCGCATAAGTAGCGACCTGCACGAATGGTGTAACCACTGTCCCGCTGTCTCCGACATGGACCCGATGAAATTGAATTCTTCGTGAAAATATGAGTATTCATTATATGTTGATCTTATCCTGATATGTATGTAATATTATGTTAAGCTTTGACCTAGTGAATGTATGGAACGAAATACCCTCCTACAAATTGCAAACTTTCTTTATTCTCATTGGAGAAAGACTCCCCCTCTACTTTATTTGAGAGGGACACAGATTAACACTCAATAACAACAACAATAACAATAATGATAATAATAGTAATAATAATAATAATAGTAATAATAATATTATTATTATTATTATTATGTATTATAGATTTTAGATTTGTTAAAACGAATTTTAGAAAAAAAATCTACATTAATTTATGATTTTTAATAACCATTACATATAATATGAATAAAAATAAAATTGATCAACCTCACATACCCTAATTAATTAGTAATTTTTCAAAAACTATAATCAATAATCAAATTGCATGATTTTATTTTCTATGAAACAAGATAAGTATAACATTAATTTTTATGTAACTTACATAAACATTAAACATTATTAGGTATTTTATATTTGCTTTTTGATAACTATATAAAAATAAATAAATAATCATAAAAAAATGAATGATATGATCAATAATAATTCTAAATATTTAATAATTAATATTAATGTATAATGTATAATTAAAATTAATTAATAATTTTCAGCTAATATTAAATTACTATTAATTAATAATGGTAATAATTATTTTTTATTTATTAGTAATTAATTAATTATTAATATTTATTTATAATTAATATTAATGAGGAATATAATTAGAAAAGATGATAAAAATCTACTAATAAGATCCAAAAGATAATCTACCTTATAAACTAAGGTTCCGTTTACCAAACACTTAACCGGGTAAGTGCTTACCAAATCACTTTACTTTACCGGATGAATATAGCAAGAACTAAAAATCTTACCCAGTAAGAGCGAAGGCAAGAATCGAGAGTCGTACCGGATAAGTGAGGACGAAGACTCTTACCATGGTTAGCGCTTATCGAGATAAATTGTTGCAAACGATGCGTTTTAGTGAATAAAATCTTACCCGGTAAGTAAGCGATAGTGTTGAATTATTTGATATGGGTAGTTTAGTAATTTACCGATCTTGTCTAGTGTACACCAAACACAATGCAACAAAGTTTTTACTTTGTTATGTACTGTCTAATACAGTAATACATCAATGGATCTAGAATGCAGCAAGATCATAAAACAATTCATGAACTTTTCTTGAATCAATTGCACATAGCAGCTACAAGCTGGCACAACTTTGTTTCCACAGAAATGTCATATAAAGCATGTGTATGTATAAATCAGACAGGTAAATGTGAGTTCTCTAGTCATAATCAATAAGATGAATTAAGCTGCTTCTGGAAATCCATTCAGAATGTTCTACAGGAAGTTTTGCATGAATCCATCCTCTTGCTACTCATCACAAGTCATTATTGCAAGCTGATTCAGTTCACAAAGCCAAACATCAGTTTCATTTTATCATATACTTTTCTGTTTGCTCATATTGACTTTAAATGTCAAATAAACTATTTCTTCGGATTCAAAATTGATATCGATCTTGTCATAAATCAATTACCAATATCTTTCTATTCCAAGTTTTTATCAAATAGATTGACGCAATTATCGGCTTGTTGTTGAAAAGCTAAATAATCTGTATGCATTTTGAAAACGAAGAAATCTATATTTGACCTCAAAAGTCAATACTATAAATTAGCTTATTTGACACCAGAAGTCTTCTGGGAACGAAGGAAACGCATGAAAAGCAATCAAAATCGCGGTTGTATGTTGAAAATGTCAACAAACTCGACTAATGATAATCTTCTGAAGAATATATATTCGACACTTGTACTCTTGACTAAAACAATTTTGATCACATTCACTATAAAATTACTTATTTGGCTTTTGTATCTCAAGTTCTAATCTCCTATTGTTCACTAGTCTTAGGGGCCGTTTACCAAACGCTTACTCTGGTAAGTGAAGACCAAGTCATATTATCTTACTGGATGAATATAATAAGGACCAATAATCTTACCCGATAAGAGAAAGTGAATGACCAAGAGTCTTGCCCAGTAAGTGAGGGCGACGACTCTTACCATGGTAAGTGCTTACCGGGTAAATTGTTGCATACGAAACCGTTTTGGTGGACTAAAATCTTACCGGATAAGTAAATGGTAGTCTTAAATTTTACCGATAAACACTTACCGGGTAAGTGTTTAGTAAACGTCCCCTTACTCTTCAACTAAGGAACGATAGTTTCAAGGTACGATAGGTAGAATATGGTTGGGAGCATGAGATACAAAGGTCAAATAAATGACTATTAGTTGTACGAAACTTATTTCAGTTGACACTACAGACCATCACGGGAACTGTGTGATTGTGAGAAAGATATACATAAAAACAGTCAAGAAAACCCTCTGGAAATAATGTTATTGCATATAGAGACAAGAAACGAGAAGAAATTCCTGCATGAAGGGCTAATACATCTGGGAAATTTAGGCATTCACTTGTAATCTAAATACCATATAGCATGTGCCTCAAAAAATTTCTAGATAGTTTCAATGATAGTTTCAGACATGTATACATAGCATAACTTTTACAAAGAAAAACTCGTCAAAACTAGTTTCGTTTTTGGTCACAAAACGATTAGTACAATGGTCAAATTTATGGTATGTTGACTAACTTATTTCATTGTATACTACAAGGGTATCCCGGGAACTCCTAGTTATAAGAAAGATATACATAACACGCAAATTCAAGAAACCCTCTGGAAATAATGTTATTGTGTATTAAAGAGACAAACACAACAAGAGGGAGAAAATTATTTCATGATGTGCACTAATATATCTTCAAAATTTAGGCAAGCAATTTCAATTAGTGAAATTGTAATTTAAATATCATAAAATACATGTTTCAATACTTCATAAATAGTTTAAGTGATGTTTTGGTGGACCTAACAAAATCCAAGTTTTGCTTCTTGATCTTCAGCTAGTATCATCAATGCCTACAAATGAAGCAAGTACAACTTTATCAATCACAATATTGTAGACTGAGTGGGCGAAGGGAATTGAAATTATGATATTTCTGAAAGACAGTGAAGGTATGCACGTTTCTTTTAATAATTAAGGACCAAATTGCCATCTACAGAAACTGGATATGGTTGGGAAGAGAAGTAGGAACCTTTATCTGCATTGGTGAAATTCAGTCATTTGAAAAATATATGATCTAAAAGGGAGCCTAAGTGCCTAACGTTTGGATCTCTTAGGCATAGAATAACTTTACCATAAGCTTGAGAAGAAACAAGACATCGAGCAAGTAGTTAGGTTATTGCTTTGTCACTACTCACTAGAAGCTGATGGATTTGAGTAATGGAAAAGGTCTTTGCAAAAATGCAAATGAAATGTTGTATAAGATGATTTGCGTACCCAATCCTCCTCTTGGTGTAGGGTAACCCTTTTCTGTAAGATTGGAAAGGAAGAAAAGCACACCAACTAGGGCTCTATGGCATTTTGTTAGATACTTGGCCTATGAAGAAAGACTAATGGATAGGATCATAGGAACCAGTAAGAACAAATGAAAGGTATACATACCACTGAAGGCTCTATGGTGTTTTGTTTGCAATTTTAAAAAACCTCATGAAGTTAACCCAGGACGAGTTGCACTGCAACTTGGTCACATATTCTATAGGGGGTAAACGAAAAACACATCCTACACTTCTTTTGATGTTCTGAAACTCAAAACATAAGAGACATACAATACTATGCTAATTCAAAGGTTGGTTTAAACACAAGAATACCTAGGAGCGTAAAGAACAAGAAACGAGTGAAAGGGGTATCCAAGCTCTTGAGTAGACAGTCGACAGTGATAGATATTAGATTAAGAGCATGCACAGTTAGAATTTACAGTAGTAATAACGAAGTGTCTAAAGAAAAATGTTAAAGTTTAGCTAATTACCAATGATATAGAACAAGTTTCTCCCAGCATTCTAGAAACAAAAGGTAAATTTGACTACTAGGGTGAAATGGTCTACTTTCTACCTTCAAATTGATACCAATTCCTAAAAGAAACTTTTGAAACAATTAAAAACTCTATTGAACCTTACTACAAGTACTTCAGATGAAACCGAATTTTAGTACTATTGCAACAAAGTCCACATCAAAGTTTGTCACCTAGCATTGTTAACACCAAAGTCTAAGTATATCTCTTGTTCAGTTTTTCTCCCATTCTCAACCATATTTTCCATGGTAATAATCGGCTACCTTTGTAGACACCTAGTGGCTAATGCTATACAAAAATCGAAAGAACGCTAACTGGAGATCCCAAAAACATCCAACTTGACATCAACAGTTGATCATAGAAGATTAAAGCAGACGACAAAAAACCAAAAAGAATATTGAAATTGAAAAACATAATCAGGATTTAGTTCATAAAATCCGACAGCAACAAATTGAAATTGATTAGTGGTGGAATTTTTACCTTCAGAAAGCCAACCGTAACCTTGGCGAGAGAGAGTGAGCATAGATGTCATCAAAGCCGAAGCAGTAGCTGTATGAAACGGTTGCATCGTTTCCAAGCAAACGCTCATTTCAACTGGACACCTTAAATTCACCAACCAAAAACATGAATTTTTGCAAATAGGTATTAAAAGCTATATTAATTGTATCTAATTGGTTAGATGGTATGTATATCACCTGAAAATGCGATGAGAAAGAGGTTTTGTGGTTGAAAAGCGAAAGGGAGAGGGAGAGGGGGCGCCTTTGCATTTGGCTTCAGAGGAGATTCTAGCGGCGGCATTACGGACGGAAGTTGACCGTAAAAACGATCTGGCAGCGGCGGCGCCGGTCATCTTGATACCTTTTATCTCCTGTGGAAATTGGATCTGAATGCGAGTGACGGAATCCCCTGCTTAAACCCTTGAGAAAGAAATTTGCATATATCACCCTTAAACTATTCATAATTTACTTTTAACCCCCACTCCCCAAAAATCATTTTTTATGACGCTTATTTTTTAAAAGATGTTTAAGTCTGAATTCTTATTTTATTTTTGATTTATAAGAAATGGTGTTAAAATCTGAAATCTGAATCAGTAAAACTATTTATTTTTGTAAACTGATAAATGATTATAGTATTGAATATATAGATTAATTTATACAATTTCACATATTTATTCATCATCATTATGAAATTTACATTTAAGACTATTACTTACAATTTCACATAGTTAGGTTTTTTTTTAATTTAATAACTTGTAAACGACCCCTTACATTTTCATCCATTTAAGACTACTAGTGTTCCAACCGCGCGTTGTGCGGTAGTCATAATATCATCTTCAAACGGAATGTTATATATTAAAATTTGAAGTCTAATTCAAAAAAAAATTAGGCAAATGTGTGTGACAACTACTCATTAATATTAAAAGTTTTTAAGAAAAGTTGACAACAATTTTAGAACCATATGTTAATTTAAGTTATTTAACTATGTTCGAGAATGGTGTTACAAAGTATTCTACAAATGTTTGACTAATGTTAGTAGTTTATTTAATTAGAAGTCACAGTTTTAACTGAAATCTCATATAAGATGACAAAATCACGATGTTAATTTTGTAACAAATTTAATTGAAATCTCATTTGAAGTTATGAAAAAAAAAAGTTTTATAATATTTTAAGTGAAAATTAGAGGAATGCGTAAGTTGTAGCAGCAGTTATAGATTTCAAAGAGGATCATCCAAAGAAAGACAACACTATGAGGCAAACCCCATTATTTGACACAAAGGCATCCAATCTATTTTCCGTATACACTTCATTTTGTTGAAATCTTTCAATTTCTTCAACAATGTGGGATATCTTAAACTCAACCACAATTCACCAACACTTCAATACTCAATTCTCATGATGTCATATCAATACTCTTGGTTCTTCCTTATATATATATATATATATATATATATATATATATATATATATATAGTTATAAATTTCAAAGAGGGTCATCAAAAAAAAAACAATCTACGAGGCAAACCCTATTATTTGACACAAAGACATCTAATCCATCTTTCTTATACACTTCATTTTATTCAAAATTTTCAACTCTTCACCAATGTATCTCAAACTCAACCACAATTCACCAACACCTCAATACTCAATTCTCATGATGTCACCTCAATACTCTTGGTTCTTCCTTATATATATCTATACTATCTTATTAAGCAAATTTAGCAAAAGTCTTAAAGTCTTAAAATATTAAATGACCAAAATACCCTTTATACTCACTTTTTCACCTCTTCATCTCCTCACATACACTCACCCTCTCACAACCGATTTTTTTTTAGATTATAATTTTAAATTTACACTTTATACCCTTATAATTAATTAATTAATTAATTTACTTTACGTCTTTTACTTTTAAATGTTTTATTTTAAACMTTTATCAAATTAACATACATAATCGTATATCAATTAAAACATGTTTAAAAAATACATTTTTATTTTAACAAGTTACACCATTATAATCGTCTCATTAATACCTTCGAAACGAGTCCAATATTGAATAGTTTTTGACTTAATTATATTATTATATATTATATATACTGTAAAAAAATATTTTTAATATTTACGATTTATACTTTTATAGWTATTTATTTATATATATACTATATATTTTGGGGTTATGCTGTTCAAATTGCACTGTATAATATGTTTTGAATTAATATGTTCTTGGGTTTTTTTTTTAAATATATATATATACATGTATTAATTCAACCTTAATCTGAGTTTCTAGACAAGAAATAGGGTAAGCAGTTGAAATTATATTTTAAAATTTTTTTTGTCTTTTCATAGCTTATGATCTGTCAAATTTGTAGTTTTCTTTATTGGTTTTAAGTGTTTATCTTAAAACTCAAGTTTCTTGGTTCTTTGCTYTTGGTGTAAATCGAATACATTTGTGRAGTCGTTTAAATATGTTGGATTTTAAATATATTGGATTTTAAACTGTCATACAATTTTTTTCATTGATAGTCTGTAATTGGAACCATAACTCTTATTTATTCAAATTGTATTAATATGTAAAGACCAAGTGTAACATATATTATCGTTAAATCTTATCTTATAAAACCAGTGGAACTTCAAATCGTTAAAATTCATGGCTCCCGCCGCATTGCGCGAGTACAAAACTAGTATATATATATAGATTACTTACTTGTAAACGACCCCTCCCTCATATTTGCTCGCTTCCTCATCTCTAACGCCATCCCTTCCATCTTTCTTATTTATTTATTTTTTATTAACCTGAATATTCAATCAGTTATACGAGCCGACTAATATCAGGACGACCACCTACTTTACGGGTAGTCTGGAATCACCACATTTGAACCTCCATAGCTACTAGGGGATTTTTATTCATTCTTGGATTTGAACCTGAGACCTTTAGACATTTTTGACATTTGAAGCTCAAACTCAAACTAATCAAACACCATCTTTATGATTTTTCATATCTATTTTAGTAAAAGTAAATGTAAAAGAAATCAAAATGCCCATCACATAGTTGGTATGTGAGGGCACTCAACAGCGACGATAACGTTGAGATGCGGGATCAAAACTATAGCAAAATACAAACCCAAATGACCCCTTGTAATTTCCAAAGGTTATGGATGAAAATGTAAGGGGTCATTTACAAAAAATGTACTCAATAAGTACGTATTGGTAATATTCAATACTATTATTTACTTACCGAGTAAGATTTTAGTCCACCAAAATGGTACCGTATGCAAAAATTTACTTGAGCCATTTGTTGAACATTAATAGTCGATACTTGAGAAAATACAATTTGTTTTATGTTGATTCCATGAAAAATAACAAATATGTCATATAGTGTATCAATGGGAAACTATTCAAAACAAAGGTTGGAGTTTTGATAATTATGTGTCATCTTGATATAAATGCTTCTCATTTCTTAAAGTGCATATTAATTGGAAAATTACATGTTTGGATGTGGTTGAACATCTTAGAGTCATGTTATATTGTTACACTCTATTTGATCTATAGGCATATAAGTCAGTTTGTTGGTTATGAAAAGGGATATCTAGTCATTGAGGACATTGTGGTGCGCGCTCTTATGGGTTCGAATATCAACCATTGACCTTGTGGTGTCCAGTTCCTATGTTAATAGGATTGGTATTCTTCTTTTTCCGTAATCCAACCTAAAAAGGAAAAAATTTATGGGTAAACTTAAATATGTGGCCTACTTTTGTGCTCCGTTACTATTAGTGGAAAATCGTGTCTCTCTTGTCATCGCAAGATGTGTTCAACACTTACAATTTTGAGAGTTGAGTAATTGGCAGTATTCATTTTCGTAAAACTCATGTTTCCGGTTTAATATTCCGTAACCTTATTTATAAATTGTTTGAACTCACTATTCTTTAAGCCTAACACTTTTTCCTCAAATAACATATATACCAGGTTTCACGAGCAGTGGACTAAGGATGCTTGAGTTGAGCGTTGGGTGCCGATAGAAGCACTTTTTGGGTAGCATTGTTGGAGTACCTTGCAAACTTGTATGATAGTCTTTTGGTAGTTGTAGTGACAGTAGATTGTAATCTAATTTCTAGAAGTGATTCAGATAAGGAATGTTACAATCTATGCATTAGATGAAAATTGTTCTGTTTAGGTATTTGGATTGAAATATTTATTGGATTTGGTTTTAATTTGTTTTTCTTTTGAATTTTGTTTATGTTGTTATTCATGTTCTTGGTTACCATTGTGTTAAAAACCATGGTTTTATATTTCTAGATTTATTAAAAAAATGTTTTATTTAATATAGACGGGGTTAAAATAGTTATTTCTGACAGTCAAGTTGTTTATTTTGCATAAATATAATCTTATTACAAGTATCTTAAATCATACAACCAACTAAATCAATGAATACAACTTATTGCATACTAGTTGTGTACCTGCGCAATGCGGCGGGAGKCATGAATTTTAACGATTTTGAAGTTCCACTGGTTTTATAAGATAAGATTTAACGATGATATAAGTTACACTTGGTCTTTACATATTAATACAATTTGAATAAATAAGAGTTATGGTTCCAATTACAGACTATCGATGAAAAAATTGTATGACAGTTTAAAATC